GCCTGTCTCAGTTGGCGTGTGAGGGTAGCGTGGATTGTTTTTATTGGTAATTCAGCCTGTCTAGCATCTAGTTTTGCCGATCCCAACATTAGTCCTCTCTGGAGCATTTGGGGGGTTAGATTTAGGTGGTGTTTGATAACCATTTTCAGACCTCACTGGAAACATTGCTTTTCAGATGCAGGTCTTGTTTGGGTTGTCCTCTGATCAGTAGGCCATTTGATTCCTCGCTGGAATGAGAATGAAAGCTCTACCGCCGTCAAACTCTCTTGCAGGTGACTTCGATTTTTTCATGATTTCTTCCACAAGTGTAATCCATTGCTAATATTTTTTTTCTCCAATTTCTCATTATCCAATATTCTTGATTCGACTTTCAATTTTCTCCAATCTCTCGCAGGTATGTCTCTATCGTCCTTTATTGTCATTGTTTCTTGTTCTATTTCATCCAACATTCTTGTAGTAGTTCACCTTGCCTAAACTGGTTCCTGGACAAGTAGTAGTTCACCTTCAAAGCTTTGATGCCAAAGGAATTAGTGATTATTATCCTAGCAGTGGTTTAAAGGGGTTGTTGGAGAAACTTGAATTGGAAAATATCTCCTCTTCTCCATCATTAAGCTAGCTTTCCAGAATCAGAATCTGAAGCAAAAGCAAAGCGGAGGAAGAATCGAATAAACTAAAGACATCCTATCAGGTCTAGGATTTTAAACGAAAATAAGATGACCGTGTTTTCTTTTTTCTTTGAAAGGATGCTCTTAAATTTTGCAAATAGAACAATTTCTATGGGAAGTCTTCCATTTAATTGGGATTGGGAATAAGAAAGACCCGATGGGGTTTGCAGAAAGTGGTCGTGGTTTTTAATGAAATTGAGGGAAAGCTTTGATTTTTAAGTGGTCGTGGTACTATCAAAAGGAGGAGTCCAGACTGGTATTGATCAGTTTATGAAGTTGGTTATCACAAATAGTTTAAGAGTTTTCTGTGGAAGCAACACTGGTATTGCTTTGAATGATTTTATTAGAAAGATGTGTAGGCCTCTCATCTTAGGTCAGGGACATGCTCATTTTCTATAAGGCTCAATAAGAGTTGAGTACCACTGCCAATCTTAGGAAGGTTTAGAGAATAAACAAAAAAGAAAACATAAATGAGGGGATATTTTCTGTAAAGCTCAAGGAGAGCTGAGTGCCAACATTCAGAAAGCACTAAGAAAAATGCATGCATCAACAAAATGAAACTCATCAGTCATTAGATAGCAAGTTAGGCCAAGAAAAGATCACTTGTCATCATTGCCAACAATACCCTTGCATTTCACAGGTACAGCTAGTTTGACAACCATGGTTTTTAAAAATGACCCGGAGACCAAACTGGTCAGGGGTCTGGTTATCGGGTCGAACGGTCGACCCATTTTGACAAAAAATGAAAAACGATCAACGTTTTTGAGCAAATTTCCAATTTTGGGGAAAACCAAAACTGATCACCTAACTGGTTCCTGATTTTTCTGATCTGATTTTGAAAACCATATTGACAACATTACCCGATCCATCCAAGACTGTGTGTTCCTTTAAATATAGGCGTTAGGTAGCCTCTAATATCTAAGGATATAAAAGATTTGGTTCTCATAAAAAAAATTAATCAGATGATGATAAAAATAGAACCAATATCAAATAATATAAACATTCCTTCTTAAGAAAAAAAACATTGAACATAGATGGTGACATCAATTTCTATCAAAAGTATATTATGGGAAAAATACGTGAATCATGCCTTTCTGCCCCACTTATGTGAAATACTCTAACCCATTCCTTAATTGCAAACCATCTACCCAAGAACTTTTGCAATTAGACATTAAAACAACACACACTACTACAAATAATCAAGCTTACAAACCAAAGCTACTACAATGAGAAAATGAAAACAATTATGGCCATGGCAAGATTCAAGCTATTACAATAAGCAAACATTAACTTTCAATCCCCACATGTGCTACTATTCTATGACCTCTGTAATCAATTATTTTATTGCCATGGCAAGATTATAAAGTCTAGGAACACCAACTTCCTAATAAGCTCTAGTGCCTTACAAATCATTATTAGCAGAAGCGTATGTAGCCCGTTCACTTTCAGCCAATTGGGAGTCACCAAATGCATCAACAACCACAACTTAACCTCGTGAATTTCTCTGAATTTGAGCCATTGTATGTATCTATTTTGGATAGGGGTGGTCACAATTTTTCACGAGCTATTCGAGCTCATCTCAGCTCGGTTTAAATCGAGCTCGACCCTGATATATAAACTCGTTTGCTAATCGAGTTGAGCTTGAGCCCAGTGAAGCTCGACTCGTGAGGCTCACAAGTCTAATATAATAAATAAATAATTTTTTATTATATACATACATATACATATAAATATATAATAAATAATTTTTATTATATAATAATATTTTATATATAATATTTTTATTTTTTTATGTATAATGGTAAATAATTTTTATAATTTTTTTGTATGTAAAATAAAAAACATTATTTATATGCATATTTTTTATTTTTATATGTATAATAATAAATGATTTTTATAATTCTTAATTTTTTATATGTAAAATACAAAAATATATTTTTATATGTATATTTTTATTTTTAGAAAAAAAACTTGGCTTGTAGTTGAGTTTGGCTTGGCTCGAGCTCAAACTTGTGAGATTTGAACCAAGCCGAGCTCGAGCTCAAATCTCTAGCTCGAATCGAGCTCGAGCCTAATATAGTTTCAGCAAGCCGAGCTTGAATAGCCAAATATTTGGCTCAACTCAATTCAAATCCACCCCTAGTTTTGGAAATAGCCCTAGTTTCATGAATCACATCTCTTGAGATGCAGCAGTGTGTGCAGATTAGATAATGTGTTCGTTTTTTTTTTTTCTTTGTTGGAAAATAATGTGCTTGGTATAGAAGTATTAGGATGCTTGTTTGATGGGTTGGAGCCTTGAAGTTGTTTTGTAAAGTTTTAGCTAATGCTCTGGCTTTGTAAACTTTTCCCCTGCTATCCAATTCTTTGGGCAGTAGGAATACGAGTGAATAAAATTGTAGCTCTTTAATTATTTCCACTCCAATGGATTGGAGTGACAGAGATAACTGTGCAATTGCAATTTTTAGCGTTCAGTGCTTTCTTTGCTCACTCCACTTCTGTAATAATCTTAGCTCTCTATCGGCTTAAAGTTGGTGATAAAGTCAACAGATGACCAATTTGTTTGATAATAGAATTCCAGTTTCCCTCCCTAGACCCTGACATATATTCCACACAAAAATTAGTATATCGAAGTTCGGATTATTTGAGGGCTGTTTAAGCAATAATATTTTATTGTTTCAGCCATGTACATACACCACAATCATTTCAATCTCTTACTTTGGCTGAACTTGGGGCATTATTATTGGTTAAACACCCTTTAACACAGCCATCTAGTGCAATTTGTATGAATTTCGAATTAATCATACTTCTTTGGGGTGTTATTGATATTGGGATCCATCTACAATGTTATCTCTTTTTTAATTTGATTAATATCATGGATTGTAGTCACAATATGTGGTCTCAATTGAATCATTGTTATTAGGAACGGTCCAAGTGAGTTTGGATTATCTATTATTTCTTATTGCTTTGAGATTTTTCTTTTTGTGATAACTCTAAATTCTTTGAGATTGGGTTTTCTACTTTGACATGGGTTATATTTTATCATTTATAGGGGGTTAGGAATGGCTACTAGAAATAATTTTGATAAAGCCACTTGGAAGGACCCAGCCTTACAAAAACTATTGTTGGACCTATGCATTGATGAGGTGTCCACCCATGGGAGACAAGGTGGTTCACTAAAGAAAGAATCTTGGACACGGATTAAGACGAAGTTAATGGAAAAAATCCAAAAGAATTTCTCATAGAAACAACTAAAGAATGGGTTCGATTATTTGAAGAGAAAATATCAACTATCGGTGACACTTATCAATAGGACTGGAAATGGGTACAATTATTTGTATACATTTTATTTAAAGTAATTATTAATTATCCAAGTTTTTGTTAATTATTAAATATTTTAATATTATTTTGAATTGAATAAATTATTTTTTGTCAATCATTAATGGTGCTAATATTTTTTATTATTGCTTAATTATTTTATTAATTTAAAAACAATATTTTATTTTTTATCAAGTATTAATTATTTTAACAATTTTTATTATTCATTAATTATTTTAATATTTTTTATTAATCATTAATTATTTTATTAATTTTACTTGTTTTATTTATTAATTATTAATTTTTAAAAATTATTTTAGTTTTTTATTTGTGTAAATTATGAATTATTAATGATTTTTATTAATTATTTTAATTTTATTAATTATTACTTATTTTAATATTTTTATTATTCATTAGTTATTTTAATAATTTTTATTAGTCATTAATTATTTTTATTAATTTTACTTGTGTTATTTATTATTTATTAAGTAGTTATTTTTAATTATTTTATTATTTTGTAGAAATTATTTTAGTTTTTATTTGTATAAATTATTTTTATTAATTATTTTAATATTTTTCTTAGCCATTAATTATTTTTAATAATTTTAATTGTGATATTTATTAATTATTAATTAATTATTTTTTATTCATATTATTTTGAAGTTGATAACAGTTTTTTATGAGATAGTACAAATTAAACAGAAAATTACCAAATAGTATGTTTTGGGGATAAAATAACAAAATCAGTGAATTTCAGATGATGTAAGGTTAATCCAATGCAGACAAACTTATTGATTAGGAAACTGGATTCAGCCGGTGTAAGGTCCGGTCCGTTCGGACAATCTTTATAGCCTTGCATTAGGAATATCTCCCCTAAGAAATAATACACAGAAGTATGGAGATATTCCCAATGCAAGGCTGTTCGAACCGCTCTTGTATTGACTGAAGCCAATTTCGACCCAGCACCCATGTTTCTTTTCCGATTTTAGGTACAAATAATATCTTTTTTAGCTTTTTCAGATTTCAATTTATCAAACGCCACCTTAGACTTGCGACAACTCGCAACTCGCAACTCGCTCCACAATAGATTTTAGACCGAGAATAGGCCTGGTTGAGAATCAGCTTGAAGGTTGTTTCACATTTTTTGAGCCGATTTACAAAATTTGAAGTCTTTCGGATTGTGGGGTGTTTTTTTTCTCGACTTTAATTCTCATCTGTTATGCTAGGTTCATAACGAGAACGATTCGCTGCAAGGGAGGGGTTTCGCTACTATCTTTTCCTATTATAGGTCCCTCTCTTTCTCTCTCTCTCTCGAGTTCAAAACCCCTTTTGTCTCTTTCTTTTGCCTCGAGGAATTGTTGTTTTATTGAATAATTCAATGCTGAAATAGCATAATAAGTTGTTGAATGATTATAATGTTGCCGGAAAACTTTTTGATATTCTTTCTGAAATTCTTCAATTAGTTCAATACTGATTAGATTTTTGCTTTTAAATCGGGTGTCTGACCCTCAAAGGGAGATTCGTTCTCTGAATACATAAAAACTAGGTATCCAGCATGCATTTCTCAGATTGCTAGCGATTGACGAAATTCAGATCTTTGTAGCATTTCCTTTATCTTTTTAGAATTACTAATATTTGGTAATCCCACTAAGCCCGTTTTGATGTGCTTCTCGTTTTGTTTTGGATAATGTATTGACATGCAATTGGTAATGTTCATGAGTTAGAAGTGTGTCTTGATTATAATATTACTTTTCTAGATTTTAGGTTTCCAATTATTGGTTGGAATTTATAAGGTTCATGAGCACAACTTTAGATGATTTTTGTATTGTCGTTTGATCAGCACGACTTCTTCACAAGGGTGTGAGCTTCAACCTTCAACTTACTCATTAGCAATTTTTTACTGCACAAGTTCACATACAAGAAGAAAGGAAGAAAGACAAGGCTATGAATTCTGGTCTCAGGGACCATTACTTGGTTTGATGATAAAATGTCTGATAAGCATGAGAATGTGGATTTGAGTCTAGGTCAACATCTAGTTCACCCTTCCCAAGATCCAGGATAGCATGCACTGGCGTTTTGGCCTTATGTTGTATTCTGTTCTTTCTAGCAACTACTTTGTTGCCTTATATGCTGCTTAAACTAACTAGGTGTTTATATTATAAAGGTATAACAAATTAACAACCTAAGAAGATTCTTGCCATTATTTGTAGGGAGTTTTTCTCAATTAATTCTGAGGTATCCAGTATTCCCAAGTCCATTTTGAATATCCCACTCCCCTCAACAATCTTGCCTAAGTGTGCTTTAATAATATCTTTCTTCTTCAGCTTAAGGGACTTTTTAAACAGAAAAGAGAAGTCCACTTAGTGTGAAGCTTCTTTGTACTTTACCTTTCCTTACATTATGGCTGTGTTTACTTGTGTTTTCTTTCTTAGCTTCTCTTGAACAATCTTTAATTTTTTTACTTGACACAAAATGGGCAAAGAAAGGTAGAAATAGGGTGGATAATTTTCTTTAATTTTCAATATTTATTCCCTTGTGTTTTCTCACTTTCTACCAAAATGCTCTATGATCTGCTATATATCCATAGGTCTAGGAGTGCAACTTGATTGGTCCTATTGTTGAGCATTTGTTGAATTTTCAAGGGGCCTTGTCCTAGAACCCAGTCCCCAATGCAATAGAAATTACAGAATTCTTCAAACCAGGTACTCAATTTGCACCTCTCCATAGGTCTTTTTCTATATCATTTAATAAGCACTTCCATCTATTTGTATAGGTGAAATAGAGTCTAATCCTGCCCCAGCTTATCTGCTAGTCCATGCTAATCCAATTTCTCTATACCACTGATGATTGGGTTGAAAATTTCTACTGGAACCCTTAGCAAATCTAGGTCTTTGGTTTTACTGTGTTTTTTGCTAGTTGCTTTGGCTTTAACATTGTTAGAGCCGATCTCTTTTTTCGTTTTGTTTGGAAAGGAGAAAAAGCAATTTTTCATTAATAAAGAAAAGAGAACAAGGGAGAGGTTCCCTTCTACAAAGACTTCAAACACCACAACCAGAAACTAAAACAACAAACGAATTGCAAAGAAAAGCCAACATTGTTAGAACCAATCTTATGTTAGTTTTAACCTCTATTTGTTTTGGAGTGTAGTTTGGCTTAGCTCTCACTTTTTCTGCAACATTTTTGAGGTTTAGTATAGTAACTATAGTTCATGCAAAACAAAGGCTACTCCTGAATGGGTACATGCAAGTGGAATCCCACACTTAAATAATGTCTATGAGGACTACTTATTTAGGTGACAAAAAGTAGGTAATAGTGTTGGTGCTTTCAATATCTATCTTCTAGTGATCTATTTGAACTCAACTTAAATACCTTATCCAGCATTCCAGCTCCATAATAATGGAAAACTATATCCATTATTATTTTTCTCAATAATAATGGATATAGTTTTCCATGCAACTCAACTCAATTACCTTATCCAGCTCCAGCTGTATGAGATTGGTTACATTAAGCCTATTTCCTGCTCAACTCTATCAAGGGAAAGATCCTAAGTTAAATATTGAGTTGAGTCCTCACATAATTTTTCATCACCTGAACCCATATCCTTTATTATTATTATTATTTTTGATCAGCAAAAAACCCATGCCCTTTACATCCTTTCATTAGGTCTTTTAGATCCATCAACTTGCGTAATTGTATTAGATCACTCCCAATTGATGAAGAATGAGCCATCTACTTGGGATTTTTTAGCCCCAAATGCATCTACATTGCAAACTTACAGTTTAATAACAGTTTGGGGAAGGGATTTCTGAGCCCTAAGAGGTTTAGGACTTGGTACATACTTGTAAGTTCATGATTGATGAGCAATCTTGTTATGTTTATGCCTTTTTTCTTTAATTCTTTACTTATTGTGACTATCCGATATTTGTGTAGCAGACATGGATGGGGGACTATCCAATGTAAAGAAATGGGTTGTGCTTTATCCTGTGTATATAAATTCAAAGAAAACAATAGCTGAGGGGCGGCGTATTAGTACAAGCAAAGCATGTGAAAATCCTACTTGTGCTGAGATTAGCGATTGCTGCAATTATCTTAAGGTCCCATGTGTAATTGAGGTCTGTTTTCTTTTGTTTCTTTTTTGTTGGGATTGGATATACATCTATGCTCTAGCAGCTCTGTGTTATTCAATTCATTTATACACACTTTAGTTGAATTGCCTTTCTCAACAGAAAATGATCTTATGTCATCATCATCATCCAAGTTTTATCTCAACTACACGGGATCAGCAATTAAAGCTACATACTTTTGGATAAATTTTTTTTTTGGCAGATTGATAAGGCATATCCACGTGATTTCATGCAAAGAGGGAGAGTTAGGGTATTGCTGAAAAAGGAAGATGGTACTTTGTATAATCCTGCTATTCCATCTAGTAAGTATTACCATTTATTAAATTTTTTATATTTTCATTGTATCTTATTTGTTTTTTTATCAGTAAAAGAGATTTCATATCTTATTTGTTGTTACTCTCATTTTTATGCATGATTGGAGAGATTAGTTTTGTTGATTGATCCAATTTTAGCAACTTTGGATTGGTTCCTCAAATATCGTTTAATTGATTTATTTTTTAAAAGATAAGAATGTTCTTCTCATACAACTAGTTTGGTTTACAACCAAATACCATGATACATGGAAAAAAAAGACTTTTCAAGGCCTTAAATCATGCATATATGGTAACAAGGTACTTGGTTTCATATGGTATGCTTTCCATGTTCATTCATCCTTGGAATGCAACGTGAATTAACTCATTTTCATTAAGCAATTGTGGTAATATTCTTAAATCACACTAATGGGTTAAGTCTTTTGGTATACTAATTGTTTCTTATTCTAACATGCCATATTTCCCTCCAGGTTAAGACTCCGGTCAAAGTAAATATAAGTAATAGTAGATAAACAGAGTGAAGGTTTAGGATGATCTTGAGGTCAAGGGATTAGGGTTTATAATGAATATCCAATGGCAAATAGGGCTGGTCCTCTAGGAAAGAAGTTTTGCAGAGGCTGTTTTATGGTAGAAAGGTACTTTTGTCAAAGGAGTCCATTTTTATTTGCTCTTCGGTTCAAGAAAATTGCTGAGGGAAATGAAAAGATGGTTGTTGGGGGAATGGATGGTGGTATTTTCCAAGAGGATATGTTGTATGATAACAGTGCCAGACAATGCCTGGGCAATAAACTGCATCCAAACAACAGTTAAGAAAGAAAAAATATTTCTGTGCTGTGTTCAGTTGGGGTTCTTCTATCTGGAACTGCTTCCTTGACTGTTTTGCTGTCTCTTTTGCTTTTGTGTGTCTAATATAGTGGAGCTATAGGGTCCAATTTTTTTATTGATGTCAGATCAATATAATTTTGGGGTAAACTGGCGATTTTTGGATTTTTTTTAGAGAAGGTAAAGTATAGAATTTCATTCAAAGGCAAATAGAGCCCCTGTACAGCAAGTGGATGTATAAAGCGAAGTTACAAAAAATCTCCCCATCACCATACCAACACTTTTCCTATTTGTGTTTTCAAGATAACCCCCAACCTGTATAACTGCATATATCCCTGTTTGTTTACAAAAAGAGAAACAAAAACAAAAATGGAACTATAACTACTTTATAATATTTATGCATGAATAACTACAAGTGTATTTTTCTTTTGATAATTGAAAGAAATATATTAATCAACAATGATAAATAGTACAAATGTACAATGTCCCCAAGGAGAGGCACGAGATGTAACCTCTCCAAGCTAGTTAAGTACAACCTTCCAATATACTAGAACGAGTTACATTGTAGCACAAAAAAGACCCTCCCTAGAAATCCCCTGTTTGGCCAAAGAATCAGCCATAGTATTAGCTGACCTGCTTACCCATTTTACCTCAACTCTTATATTACTAGTTAACCACTTTACTTTTTTGATGAGGTCTTTGTAGCCCCAAATGGTAGCATCCGGGTTTAGAAGCCACCTTGTTACCACTTGCGAGTCCCCTTCAACTATGAGATGTTCCACCCCAAGCTGGTTAGCGATCTGAATTCTTTGTACAGCAACTAGTATTTCTGCCCTTGTAGAGTCCCCCCACTCCCACCGGTCCTGAGAATAAGGAGATGATGTTGCTATCTTTATTCCTCAGGACACCCCCTATACCTGAAGGCCTAGGGTTACCTTGGCTGCTCCCATCAAAATTTACCTTGATGACACCTTCTGAAGGCGGATTCCATTCTGACAAACTTCTATTCTTTTTTGTAGAAGTATTAGCTATTACTGACCAATTACTCCACAGGTCATCAAAAGAGAAATTAACAAATATATCCAAGGTTTTCAGCTAATGTATTGCTCTTGTTAGAATACAGTCCTTCACTTCATCCAAGTTTTTGTCCTTCTCTAAGAAGACTCTTGCATTCCTTTCCTCCTAGAGAGTCCATAAGGTGGCTGCCCTGATACATTTCCACATGAACTTGCCTCTTCTAGTATGCCATACAAAAATAGATGGGTTAAATAACAAACTCACATCAGATGGTGGAGACCACCTACCTCCAAATAAACTAAGGCTCCAATTCCATAAGGCTGTAGCAAAGGAGCAAGAGATTAGCAAATGGAAGTAGTCCTCATTCTGGGCCTTACAGAAGGAACACCAGTTTGGGGAAAGACAAAGAAAGGGTCTCTTTTTCTGCAAGTTTTTCAAAGTATTGATTTTTCCATAGTAGACTTCCTAGCAGAATACAACAATTTTTAGAGGAATAGGTCGTGCCCAAACTTCTTTAAAGGGGAACACTCGGGAATTGGGGTTGGAGCTGAGGGATTTTAGAAAAGAAGCACAAGTAAAGGTACCTTTTGGAAGAGGATCCCAAACTCTTTGATCAAAAGATGTGGGGTCCAAACAAACTGACTCAAGTAAATGAAGTAGCTTAGTGTCACAAATCAACTCACCATCCCTTAATCCCCTACAAAATCCAAAGTCCCAGTTTAAAGACATGGGAACAAACGGGTTCAAAAGAAAATTTGCAATTATCTCATTTTTGTTAAGGGAGAGAGAGAGTAAAGCAAGGGGAACCGATCTTTGGGGGGTTGATTACCCACTCAAACATCCTCCCAGAATCGAATAGAATCACTAGAGCAAGCACCATACTTGATAAACCTGAGGAAGCGAGGGAGAATACCATGTATAGCCTTCCAAGGTGTTGTGAGGGTAACTCGACAAGATATCTCGGCATCCCAACCATTTACTGAGCAGCCATGAATACTTGACACCACCTCATGCAATAATCTCTCTCTCTCTCTCTCTCTCTCTCTCTCTCTCCTAAGGCCATCTCCATAACCACTTACCTAGGAGAGCTTCATTCTTCTGCACTATGTTCCCTATCCCTAAGCCCCTTTCTTCCTTAGGTTTATTAACTATCTTCCATCTAACTCGATGGTCCTTTTTCACCTCTCCTGGTTCTCACAGAAAGTCCCTCATTACCTTCTCCAGTTTCTTAGCCTCCCTTGGGGGAATCCTGAAAACTGAAAGGAAGTAGGTTGGAAGGTTAGCAAGTGTGGCCCTAATCGAAGTCACCCTACCCCCTATTGAGATGTAATTCTTTTTCTAGGCCACCAAGAATTTATCAAATTTCTCCACAATAGGGGTCCAGTCCTAAGGGGAGACCTAAGTAGGTCAAAGGCCAAGAAGAGGTGGTGCAACCTAAACACCCTACAATGGATTCTATCTCCCAATCCTCCATATTTACTCCAACCACACAACTTTTATCAAAGTTTATCCTCAAGTTGGAGGCAAGATCAAAGGCTCTTATTAAATTCTTAAGGTTGTCTACCTTGCTTAAATCATTCCCTTCATAGAAAATAACAATATCATCAGTAAACTAAAGGTGAGTTACTGAAATGCCTCTCCTCCCTATTCTCCAACCCTTTATTTGGCCCTCCTCATCTACTTTGGAGCATAGTTGTCAAGGCGCCTAGGCGAGCCTAGGCAACCACAGGGCGCTCAGTTGCCTAGGCGATGGAATTTGAAAGTATGAAATATGTATCCCTACTCCTCTTAAGCTATGCTATTGGTTTTTTATACTAACAAACATACTTGTATGCTAGCTATTAGCAATAAAATCATTCAAATAAAACATAAAATGCCATAGCTAGCATCCAGGCCAAAAAAGGGGGGATTGCAGATAAGAAAAGAGTGAAAAATAAGGGGGCGGAGCCCCTGTTTCGTTCACAACATAAGTTGTCCAAGAGGACAATGTGGATTGTGTTTAAGGGGGTGGAGACCCTGATTCAGGCTAAAACAAATGGAGGAGGATTGTTAAGAAGAAGAAGAAAGAGGAGGAGGCAGAGCCCCTGTTTCATTCCAAAAGAAGAAGAAGAAGAAGAAGAAGAAGAAGAAGAAGAAGAAGAAGGAGCAGGAAGCGGAGCCCCTGTTTCATCCCAAAAGAAGAAGAAGAAGAAGAAGAAGGAGCAGGAAGTGGAGCCCTTGTTTCATCCCAAAAGAAGAAGAAGAAGAATGTATTAGGATGTCTTCTTGTCATCGTTTTCTCTTCTCAGCTCTCGGTCTCAACTCTCGTTTTCTCTTCTCTTTTATTAAAGTAAAAGAGAATTACTTTAATAAAAAAGATAATATACAACAGTGTGTATTGTAATAAGATATAAAAATGATATAATACATATGCACATTCAAAAAAATAGTATAACATATATATGTGTGAGCGCCTAATACAAAAACACCTAGGCGTTGTGCGAGGCGACTTCTAAAAATCGCCTAGTCGGGTTGACAACTATGCTTTGGAGATCAATCTACTAAGAACATCAACAACAAGTGTAAAGAGGAAAGGAGAAAGTGGGTCACCTTGTCTTAAGCCTCTATTGGCTGGAAAGAAATCCTTAACCACTCCATTAACCAAGACTGAATAATGGCATGAATTTAAACATCCACTTATCCAATTACACCATTTGTCCCCAAATCCACGCATTCTTAACACCTCCAACAAGAAACTCTAGTCCACTAGGTCAAGCTTTTTCCAAGTCCAATTTGCAGATAAAGCCATTTCTGCTAGATCTCGTCATCTCTTCCACACTCTCATTTGCAATGAGGATCTGATCTATAATTTGTGTATCCTGTACAAAGGCTCCTTGTGCTTGGCTAATGAGAGAAGGGAGAACTGCTTTGATCCTCCTGGAGAGCACTTTTGCCAAAATCTTATAGCTGCTAGTCACCAAGCTGATTGGCCAAAAATCTTTGGGGTTTTTGGCATCAATCTTTTTAGGAACTAGAGCTAGAAAAGTGGCACTGATTCCAGGACTCACAATATGTTTATCCTCAAATTCTCTAATGGCTCCAATTAAGTCTTCTTTGATTATGTCCCAGCAGTCCTGATAAAATGCCATTGTAAACCCATCTGGACCTGGTGC